CAATTTTATATACAAATGTTGGGATTGTTCTTCCAATTCTCTGTAAAAATGTTGATAAACTTAGCAGACTACCCCTAAAAAGTCTCCGCAGTGTAGTGGCAAAAATAAATTCTTCTGCTGCTAAAAGTGATACGAAAATAATTAATGATCATACAACATTTAAAGACGAGGTGTTGTCGATCTATTTGCATTCAGAGTCCATATTTTGCAATGTTCCCCAGTACATCCCAATGGGTGCTACCTGTCTCGCTGATGCTATTGTGAGGGACAAGCTTTGGAAGAACATGACTCCTGACCAGTTGAAAGACTCACAGAAGTTGTTTGACACCCCTTCGCAACACTTTATTTACTCTGAAATAATGATTGCTTGGGTTACTGAGAAAATGCCAGATGAGGATGTGTTTCATAACATAACTGGGTCATTGATACCTTGCCAGTTTGATGCTGATTACATTGCAATGCTGAACGATAAGTACAAAGCTCTCGGGTATTCTGAACCAATACCAGCTCCTTTACTGAAGAATTGGAAAAGGCCTAACCATGTTATAGAAAGTTTATATTACTCTTATACAAGTTCCAAACATTTTATCATCAAGCTAAGAATCTTGTGTAGAAACGACTGCAATGCAGGCCCTTGGTATCATGTCCTATTTGAGGGGCCCTCAAATGAAATGTGTGCACCACTACATAATTGGAGCTGGTACAATAGCATTCGTTTACCACCAACGACACTAACTGAAGATTTTCTGAGGTGCCCCAAGGATACAAAAGAAGGCACAGTACCAAAGGAGAGACTTCAGTTTTATGGAGTTACCGATAAAGACGTTCATCTTCAGTTCCATACAGACTGGTCTGACACCTTTGCTAAATGGAGTAATGGCGATAAGAAGTTGAGAGTCGGATGTATACAGTTTGATAAAACTTAAATTTGATGAAGTGTTCAAGATTTATAAGGTAGACAATCAACATATTATTAGAATGTGCATTTTTCACTGCCTAAAATCATAACAATATGATGTAGTACATAGAGTTATTCAAAGTTTGAAATTTAAGTATCGTTTTAAATTGTTTATTTGTTTAATTAAATAGATTGGTTTACATATTTTAAAATTATTTAAGATTTTAAAATTGTTTTAAATATTTGTAACCTAGTTTTAACCCGGCTATATTTGGCCATACTTTGCAACGATGTAAACTCTACCTACTTAAATGAATTAATCAAATAGAGGTAATTGAGATATTATGTTGTTGAACGTTTCACGTTTGGATTGTTCTGGAGAGCAGATAAATGATGTTTTAAATATATTCTATTTCAATTTTAACATACCTATAATATTAATTGATGATATTTTATACTAAATTTATGTTTAAATATAAAAGTGCCTCACTGTTGGATGATCTAGAAACAAACTTTAATTGATTCACAATACTTTGTCACAAGCTTTGAAAATCTTTTGATAATCTACAGAGTAAATGGAGTAATGGCGATAAGAAGTTGAGAGTCGGATGTGTACAGTTCGATAAAACTTAAATTTGATGAAAAAAGACAATTTGAGAAAAGACAATTTTATTATTTATCACCAATTCAATACATAATCAATAAATATATATCCGAATAAATTTGATTTAAAATTAAATGCTAGCAGCTAGCGCGCTTGTATTTGATCAATATACACGCTGTTAAAATGAGTCTTACCACACTATGAAGTGTTGAGATTTAGACAGTAGACAATCAACATATTATTAGAATGTGCATTTTTCACTGCCTAAAATTATAGCAATATGATGTAGTATATCGAGCTATTCTAAGTTTGAAATTCAAGTATCGTTTTATATTGTTTATTTTTTTAATTAAATAGATTGGTTTACATATTTTAAAATTATTTACGATTTTAAAATTGCTTTAAATATTTGTAACCTAGTTTTAACCCGGTTATATTTGGCCATACTTTGCAGCGATGTAAACTCTACCTACTTAAATGAATTAATCAAATAGAGGTAATTGAGATATTAATATGTTGTTGAATGTTTCACGTTTGGATTGTTCTGGAGAGCAGATGAATGATGTTTTAAATATATTCTATTTCAATTTTAACATACCTATAATATTAATTGATGATATTTTATACTAAATTTATGTTCAAATATAAAAGTGTCTCACTGTTGGATGATCTAGAAACAAACTTTAACTGATTCACAATACTTTGTCACAAGCTTTGAAAATCTTTTGATAATCTACAGAGCAGACGTTTTCGCAGTTTAACAAAGTTGACTGCTTCCCGCCACTTAATTGTCACTAACATTTAAGATCCGGCATGATTTAAAAAAAATTCATCTTATTCCGAAACCCCAGTAATTTTACAATAACAATTTCGAGATTTTTTGCAAAAATCTGAAATTTTGATGATTTTCATTTGATCTGGAGTTTGCAGGTCAGAAATTCGACGTTTTGCTCTAATAGAATCCTATATATTTTATATCCTAATAAGTTTATCTCAGCAGACATGGTCGTGAAGCTAAACTTTAGAACAGACTTCACCCACCTTCTGAACAAAGAGAATAAGATAAACCACACAGTGAAAGTGGTGACAAAAAGTGAAGTTATAGAATGCAGTGGAGCAGTGTTATGTCAACACAGTGATATTCTACTGCAACTAGTTGCTAAGGACAACGAACTCTTCCTAGACAACTACACTCACGTACAGGACTGTCTCCTAGTTCTTCACGGAGCTGAGGTTGCTCTTAACATGGACAATATCCTGGATCTCATGAAGTTCAGTGTACAGTTTGGTATCAACGAGATTTACCTGCAGTGCCTGGATTGGATTGAGAACAATCTAAGTGTAGAAAACGTTCCGGAAATTTTCCAGCTTTGCAATAGTGTATCAAAGTTTGCCAAACTATGTGATTGGACTTTACCGGCGGATGTTTTTACCTCCATAGTTATTTACCTCAAAATGGTTGGTCCTGGTGCTGTTCAAGATCTTTTTGAGTTAAAGAGTGATCCAGATCATGATAAACAGATTGAATTCATGAGTTTCATATTAGAAACACGTGGATTGATCGTTCCTTTTGTTGATTTGTTTCAGGAAGCAATTTCATATACAAATGTTGGGATTGTTCTTCCAATTATCTGTAAAAATGTTGATAAACTTAGCAGACTACCCCTAAAAAGTCTCCGCAGTGTAGTTGCAAAAATAAATTCTTCTGCTGCTATGGTTAAAAGTGATACGAAAATAATTAATGATCATACAACATTTAAAGACGAGGTGTTGTCGATCTATTTGCATTCAGAGTCCATCTTTTGCAATGTTCCCGAGTACATCCCAATGGTTGCTACCTGTCTCGCTGATGCTATTGTGAGGGACAAGCTTTGGAAAGGCATGACTCCTGACCAGTTGAAAGACTCACAGAAGTTGTTTGACTCCCCGTCGCAACACTTTGTTTACTCTGAAATAATGATTGCTTGGGTTACTGAGAAAATGCCAGATGGGGATGTGTTTCATAACATAACTGGGTCATTGATACCTTGCCAGTTTGATGCTGATTACATTACAATGCTGAACGATAAATACAAAGCTCTCGGGTATTCTGAACCAATACCACCTCCATTACTTAAGAACTGGAAAAAGCCTAACCATGTTATAGAAGCTTCTTATTACGACTCTTCAAGTGCCACATTTTACATCCAGCTAAGAATATTGTGTAGAAACGGCTGCGATACAGGCTCTCAGTACCGTGTCCGGTTCGAGGAACCTTCAAATAAAATGTGCGCACCACAGCTGAACTGGTCGTGGTACTCCGGGGGGTACTCCGAGACACCACCTACGACACTAACTGAAGATTTTCTGAGGTGCCCCAAGGATACAAAAGGAGGCACAGTACCAAAGGAGAGACTTCAGTTCTATGGAGCTACCGATAAAGACGTTCATCTTCAGTTCCATACAGACTGGTCTGACACCTTTGCTAAATGGAGTAATGGCGATAAGAAGTTGAGAGTTGGATGTATTCAGTTTGATAAAACTTAAATTTGATGAGGTGTTGAGATTTATAAGGTAGACAATCAACATATTATTAGAATGTGCATTTTCAACTGCCTAAAATCATAACAATATGATGTTTGGAATTTAAGTAGTATGTTTTATGTTACAAGAGAAACTCGCTGGGTTGGTAATAGAAACAGAACCTGTAATAAATAGGATTTATTACACCAATAATATAAACATTCAATGTTCCAATTATCCATTGTAAATATATAATAGTATATAGATCATTGTAAATATATAGTTTAAAGGAATACGTACCGGTTGATACTCTACAATAACATAAATCTTCTTTCTACAAACTTAATCTTCTTTCTACAAACTTCAACCGGTTCTCATACTATGAATATATAATGATTAGTATTCTGCTAAGTCTAACATTCCCCCCTATTTAAAAACTTTTGAAAATAGCTCGAAGCTCTTTAAAAACACTTAAAAACACTTGACACGTAGTCATCCTAAATTCTACAAATTGCTTAAAAGAACGCGCGTGCGCGGTAAAAATATTTCAACTTTTCACAATCCAATATTAGAAAATTGCTAGTCGTTAGTTACTTCAAACAAAGAAAATGTCCCAATCTCTCAGACAGAAAATTTTGACTGCCATACACGTAGCAAACGTGTGATTAACAATATCTACTGGTAAATTCACAGTAAATAACCAATCTTTTCACCTCTTTCATATCGTAACTAAATATAATCTGTCACAACTCATGTCACAGTCTCAGTGTAACACTCTATACGAACATTACTACTGTCACATAAACCACACTAGTACCATGAACTGTGAAACTACTTGTACTGACATGTACTAACATACTAATTCGAATGAATGTCATTGTGAAATGTTAGGGTAGAAATGGTGATTTTGCAACATTATTCTAATCGAAATTATATACGGTAAGGTAAACTATACTCGTAATATGAGTAATATAAGGTAAGTAAGCTACTCAAAACGTGTAATCACGTAATAAAATCATATTCAATACGTGTAATCACCAAAATATACGTTATTCAAAACGTGTAGTCAGGGAAAAAAGTAACTAACAAGTTAAAAAACGCTAAAAAAAATAATAAATTATTCAAACAAACATAGTTAATCTCTCTCCAGAAACTCTCCTCTCTCGATCACAGTGCACAACTGCTCGCAGTTTGCATCTTTCTTTGTTAAACAATCTGCCAACATGATGTCAGTAGGTATCCATGTTAATGACTTCAGTGTCTTGTTGGAGAGTGCTTGTTGAAGTTCTGCTAGGTCGAGTCTCAGTCTCTTTTCTTCACACTGCTTCGATGTATGAACGTGATCATGTAACTGTTTAGAATCAGCGAAACCTTTGATTGGTATGACTTCACTCTTCGGATCTCCGTACAGTATCTCTGACAGTATTTGTCGGACATAGATTGCAGCTCCCATGGCATCTATGCAAGCTAGAGTTTCGGCTCCAAACGCCGAGTGCACGACACGTTTTATCTTCCTAGAACTCCAGTCGATTAAGTTAGCCGTTTTTCCGTTAGTTAGAAAAACAAGGTAACCTCTCCCACTCTGTGTCTGTCTTCCGTTCTCTGTGAACGTGTTTCCAACACTAGCATCAGTGTAGAATGTGATCGAAATGTTGTCTCTCTGCAGATCCAAGCCTTTGAAACACAGTGATTTTGGTCCTCCTGCGATCTTCTTAGTAACTTTGTTCAACACCTTCACATGCTTGACACAAGCATTACTGCTGTACGTAGACAGCTCCAGTGTATCAAAGCTCAAATCTGGACGGGTTTGGCCACTAAGCCACAACATTCTCCCGAGTTGTTTCTGGTACACTTTCTTTTCTTCTTCTGTCAGCTTCGACTCTGGCTGTTTCTTCCGTTCAATCGACAGCTCTGTTGTTGTGATGCTCTGTCCATATCCTCTCTGATCGATACGAATTACACCCTTTTCTGTGTCTTGCTTCACGTTCCATCCTAAATATGTGAAAACTCCTGCGTGGATCCTCGAGATTTTAAAATCTCGTCTCACTCTGTCAATAATCTCTCGATGAAAAGTCGGTGTTCCTGCATACAACAAATCATCTACATGAGTAAGAACAATCCCGTGTAGCTTATCATTCCTCACATATCTGAATACACACTTGTCTAGCACAGACATGGTGCATCCTCTCTCTGTTAGATACTTGCTCAGCGTTATGTACCATCTTCTGGCAGCATCTCCTAAACCGTACACCGGTTTCTTTAACCTCCACATCACACCCTGCTTTCTGATATCAGCAGGTGGTTTCAAATACACCTCACGAGTCATTTCATCCGATTGTAAAAAAGCTGCAGTAACATCTAGCGACTCTAGACTCCATCTTGCACTTGCGGCTATTGCAAACAGTAATCTCAAACTCGTCTTGTTTGATGTCGGGGCGTCAGCTCTGGGATAATTCTCTTCGTAACCCCTAGCAACTAGTCTCGCACGTACTTTCTCTTTACGCTTTGTCACTATCCAACGAGACGATACTGACGGTTGTCCCACATCTCTTACTTCTTCATAGACTCCAAACTCACGAAACTTTAACAACTCTAATTCTTTAGCTTCTTTTACGCCATGATCTTCTGTGAACACCTTGCTCACACTAAATACAAATCTGTCTTCTTCTATGAAAAGTAGTTCCTCATCACTGTCCTCTTCTTCGTCTTCCAAAAACATGAGTCTTTCCACTGTCATCCCGTCTAAGTCCACGGCCAGGGTTTTTTCTTCGTCTTCTATCTCCAAGTTATACTCATTCTTGTACTGACCTGTCGATTTTCCTGCCCGACTTGTCACGAGTCCTTTTGTCCAGTCTTCGGTTTCTTGGCCTCTAAATCTCACTATATCATCCTTCTTGAGATTGAGAGCTCCATTCTTCACCGGTTCTACATTGGTCCAGTCTTCTTCAATCTTCACTGGCTCTACACTGGGCAAGTTCTCTTCAACCACGCGACTAATAGTGTTGTCTTCAGTTTCATTCAACACCTGCACTACAGGATCCTCTGTATCTCCCGATTCCTCACAGTCGCTTTCCTCTGGTTCTTCTGTACCTTCAGATTCCTCACGGTCGCTCAATATTATCTCTCCATAAAGACGACTTCCGCCTTGTCTACGGATCCCACGTGTGACATTCCTTTGTTCCACTCCCATTTGGAGTCCTACAATCCTCCCGCTCCCGTCTGTACCACGGGTCTTTGCCTTTCTGCGGGGTTCTTTATCAACTGCAATCCCGCCAGCACGCGTGCTACGAGTCTTTGTCAGCTCTTCTTCGTCATCACTAGGTTGATTCAACTCTCTAACCCTCCCGCTCCCGTCAGTACCACGGGTCTTTGCCTTTGTGCGGGGTTCTTTATCAACTGCAATCCCGCCAGCACGCATGCTACGAGTCTTTGTCAGCTCTTCTTCATCATCACTAGGTTGGTTCAACTCTTCAACCCTCCCGCTCCCGTCAGTACCACGGGTCTTTGCCTTTGTGCGGGGTTCTTTATCAACTGCAATCCCGCCAGCACGCATGCTACGAGTCTTTGTCAGCTCTTCTTCAGTGTCCTTGTCAGTGTCTTCATCATCTTTATCATAAGGGTCTTTTCCTCCAGCTCTCGCCTTATTCACTTGATCATCCGCTGTCTGTTTCAGTACTACTTTACAGGGGTTGACTCTTATTAGTGCTCCACCATGCTTGATCAATACGGAGTTTGCCTGTTGTCCCACTACATGTGCTGGTCCTAAGAATTCTTTGTCCTTCTTATAGTACACGATATCTCCAGATGTGTACCTAGCGTTGTTCCTGGTGAACACTCGCTCTCTTAGTACCTTTTTCAGTTTCTCTGAGTTTTCGAGTTTCACAAACTGTCGTCTCGCTTCCTCTAGTGCGTTCAAGTTATCTGCAACAACTTTGCTTGCTGTTTTGTTGTTCAAGCTTGGCAGATTCTCTTGGTTCATGACTGAAGGCACTGTGGGATTTCTACCAAACACTAGTTGGTATGGTGTGAAACCAAAAACATTATTCAGTGAGTTCTTCGCATTACAGGACCACCCTATTGCTATCTCTAAGTTGCAATAAGATGGTTTCTGTTCTTCTATCACTCCGTCTATCATATTAGACAACATTGAGTGATGCCTCTCGACCATCCCGTTGCACCATGGTGATGCTGCTGGTGATGTCTTAAAGTTAATAGAGCACATCGAACACATTTCCAGGAAATCAGTATTAATGAACTCTCCTCCGTTATCACTCATTATGGTCCCTGGTCGTCCAAAAATGCTGATCCAATGTTTGAAGATCAGTTGGACTATCTCTTTTCCTGTTTTTGTAGTTAACGAGGCTGCGACTGTATATCTTGTGACTGTGTCTATGATGTGGATGATCCAAACGCCACAACCTAGTTTCTTTAAGTCCATCGCAATCACCTCATTGAAGACGTTTCCGCTAGGTATTGCTACCTTTCTTTTCGGAGCCTCTCTAGTTTTGTGTTTTATACAAAACTCACACTTCGCTTCATACTGTTCCAACTCTCGGATGATTTCTTTGCTGTTTTCTACTTCGCTGGATTTAACCCACTCTCCTATCTTCTTTGCTGATCCATGAGCAAAATATCTGTGCAAGTGCTGTGCTGTTTTCTTTGCATCATTCACATCAACCAGGAATGTCATTTCCTGTGCATGTGGCGGTACATCTCTTGAATCCTCTCCTCTCCCGATTGACACCACCATGTGTCCTGAAGCTGTGTCTAGGATTGGTTCTTCTCCGCCGTGAGCATACACTTTCTTCTTTCCTACATCGATGACAAACCTGTGTTCATTCATGGTTTGTTTTGACAGCAGTAACGGAATGTCTGTGTCGACAACATGTGTTCTAATCACTATGTTCTTACCAAACATTTTCACAGGTAAGGTTACAAGCTTTCTAGCCACCACGCTTTCACCATCTCCAAAGCGAAATGTTGCTTTACTGTTCTTTGTCTTTAACTTTCTCGCTTCTTCCCCTGTGAGTGACTCTGTGTAGACTTCTAGCCACTTTTGTCCACATACCGTTGCAGACGCACCTGTGTCTAGTAAACCTTTGTTTACAGTTTCTCCGATGAAGTATGTATACTGTTCGTCTCTTTCAGGTAGAACTACTTCGCTCGTCATATCAGCCAGGTATGTATACCTTTTTCTTTGACCATCTGTCTTATAAGTATTTCTTTGACCTTCTGTCCTGTAAGTATTTCTTTGATCTTCTGTCTTGTTATAAGAATTATGAGGGCAGTTTGCTACACGATGGTTTGGATTTTTGCAAATATAACAACCCTGGTAGTTTTGGTTGGTTTGATTTGTTCGGTTATTATTGCCATTTCCATACTTTCTGAACTTTCCTTTCCCCCTGAACGGCCTTCCGGTATTGTAAAGAACACCCTCATCTTCACTTTGTGCAGTTTCTCCACTGGCACTGCTGCTATTTCGACTTCTTTGGTCTGTAAACATGATGCCCTGTTCTTCCTTAATAACAGTTTCTATCCGGGTAGGACTTTCAAATGGTACTTCATCTCCAAATGTCTGCTTCAACGATTGGACCATCATTTTATAGTCTAGCTTTGTTATTGTTGCTTTAACAAGCCGTTTCTGGTCCGGGTTAAGGTTTGCTTGATTGAGAAGTTTATACGCTAACACTCCATCCTCGTACACTACTTGTCCTCTCAGTTGGTCTATCTTCTTTCTTTTCTGTTCAAAGTCTCGCACATACAGGTCCATTGCTACACCTTCTGGTCTCTTATAGTGTTCGAAATCTTCAATTGCCATGAACAGATTGTGTGTGGCGTCTTTAAGAAACAGAGAATCCAGCTCTGTTATCAGCTTATCAACTCCGGTTTCATCTCCTAACTCTGCTGGTGCTATTTGTAGTGCTGCTTCATACGCTCTTCCATTCATGAATCCAATCAGACGGCTGGCTTGTTGAGTTTTCTTTGCTGTTGTTCCCAACTGCCACACTTTGACTGCTTTCTTCCAACGGCTGTAGTCGCTGTCATCCTCTAGATTCGGTATCCTCTCGCTCATAATGTGAATGAATGTGAAAATTACTACAAACACAAAACACTGACACAAACAAATGTACACTGACTATAACTAACTAACACGAGTTTTAAATCTAAATTACTTTCAACACTTCAATACTTCGTATATACTTTCTAGTTAGTCTCTTCTTCTTTAAATTAACTGAACAGTCTATAACAATTTCTTCCAATTACCTTTTCTCTCCTTTCCTCTGGTTCTTCTTCGGTGGATCTGTCGTCTCTCACAAGTTAACTGAACTGCTACCACTGTTACAAGAGAAACTCGCTGGGTTGGTAATAGAAACAGAACCTGTAATAAATAGGATTTATTACACCAATAATATAAACATTCAATGTTCCAATTATCCATTGTAAATATATAATAGTATATAGATCATTGTAAATATATAGTTTAAAGGAATACGTACCGGTTGATACTCTACAATAACATAAATCTTCTTTCTACAAACTTAATCTTCTTTCTACAAACTTCAACCGGTTCTCATACTATGAATATATAATGATTAGTATTCTGCTAAGTCTAACATTTTATACCTATCGTTTTAAATTGTTAATTTGTTTAATAGATTGTTGTACACGTTTCAAAATTATTTACGATTTTTAAAATGTTTTAAATATTTTTAACCTAATTTTATCCTTGCTATATTTGGCCATAATTTGCAACGATGTAATTTATATCTACTTTGCATCTATCAAATAGCAGTATTTGAGATATTATGTTATCGAATCAAATCTAACGTATGGATTGTTCTGGAGAGCAGATGAATGATATTTTAAATAATATAATATATTCTATTTCAATTTTAACATGCCTGTAATATTAATTGATGATGTTTAAAAATTTGTCACAAGTTTGATAATCGTTTGATAATCTACAGTTGTAGATATTGTTTTAGTGATTCGAGTTTACTGTTCCAACTACATAAATGAAAAATGCTTTTCTTTGGCCTGCTTTTCCGGCATGATTTTCAATAAAATTCACCTAATTCTGGAACACCAGTAATTTTACCATATAAATTTCGGTTTAACCTAATAAGTCTATCTCAGCAGACATGGTCGTGAAGCTAAACTTTAGAACAGATTTCACCCACCTTCTGAAAAAAGAGAATAAGATAAACCACACAGTGAAAGTGGTGACAAAAAGTGAAGTTATAGAATGCAGTGGAGCAGTGTTATGTCAACACAGTGATATTCTACTGCAACTAGTTGCTAAGGACAACGAACTCTTCCTAGACAACTACACTCACGTACAGGACTGTCTCCTAGTTCTTCACGGAGCTGAGGTTGCTCTTAACATGGACAATATCCTGGATCTCATGAAGTTCAGTGTTCAGTTTGGTATCAACGAGATTTACTTGCAGTGCCTGGATTGGATTGAGAACAATTTCAGTGAGGAGAATGTCCTTGAGATGTACAAAATATGCAACAGTGTGTCTAAATTTGCGAGACTTTGTGGAATAAAGCTACCTACTGATGCATTTTCTCATGTTATTACTTATCTAAAAATGGTTGGCCCCAATGCTGTTATTAATCTTTTCAACACCGACTCTGAAGCTAATCAATTGGATTTCTTGAGATTTTTTCTTGAAACAAAAGGCTTCATGAGCAATTTTGATGATTTGCTTTGTGATATTATTTCGGAAAACAATATTTCAATTGTACTTCCACTGCTTTGTAATAATTTTGACGAACTTAAGAAATTCTCTGAGAAACATTTCCGAAACTTGATTACAAGAATCGATTGCACTTCTGTTGCAAGTCTCGCACCCAGAGATTATGTATGTTATAAGGAAAAGCTTCATTCAATGTTTTTACAAGCTCAGTCCCCTTACAATACTTCACATTCCCTTCTTAAAGGATTAATTTGCCTAAGTGATACCATACTCCAAGGAAAGCTTTGGAAGAAGATGAACAAAGACCAGATCATAGATGTTCAGAGATTATTTGACACACCTTCACAGCATTTTATCTACTCAGAGATCATGATAGCTTGGATCAATGAGAATAAACCAACGCAAGAAACAGTGACTGAACTGTGTCAGACGTTGAAACCGTACAAGCTTGGTGCTGACTACATCTCCATGTTAAACGACAAGTGCAAAGTCCTCGGATACATTGAACCCATATCAGCTCCGTTATTAACCACTTGGAAACCCGTTAACCATTACATCACAGATACTGTTTATGCCGGTACTGTAAATAACGGTACAGGAATCGTCATGAAATTTAGAATTTTGTGCAGGAGTACTTGTAATTCAAGTAAAGTGTACACCGTTAACTTAAATCAAAGTGGCAGTCATGGGCTCGAATGGAGCTGGAACAATACAATTCCTTCTACTGTAACTGATGATTTTCTGAAATGTCCCCTTGAAACTGTACAAGACGGGGCAGAAAAAGAGCGATTTACATTTTATGGAGCAACTAAAGATGACGTCCACCTTCAGTTCCACACAGACTGGACTGACACTCTTGCTAAGTGGAACAGGGGTGGTAAAAGGTTGAATGTTGGATGTGTACAGTTTGGTAAATTCTCCGATTAACTTTTTTCCTATATCGTTAGATTAATAGTATGGATGTATGGATTAAAGTTAAGCTAAGTTAAACTCTAAGTTAAACTCAAGTGCTACATTTTATATATTTTTAGATTGTTTTAAATTGTTTTATTCGTTTAATAAATTGTTTTAATTTTTACATGTTTAAAAATTATTTATGCCTTTAAAATTGTTTTAGAAGTTTTTGACCTAGTTTTATCACGGCTATATTTGGTCATACTTTGCAACGATATAAGCTATATCTACTTTGCATATATCAAATAAGTTTATTTGAGATGTTATCATGTTATCGAATTAAATATAACGTATGGATTGCTCTGGTCAGTAGATTATTGATGTTTTAAATAGCATATTCCATTTCAATTTTAACATACCTATAATATTAATTTATGATATTTTATACTAAATTTATATTTTATTATGTTCAAATATAAAAGTGTCTTACTGTTGGCTGATAGTAGAAGGGAATGTATGAAGGCCCGCCATCAAGTGGCACCCAGCCACTCACAGCACGCCCTCAGGTCACGTGACAGCACGTCACAAAGGTCACGTGACAGATCACATGTCATGTAACCACGTGACAAGCTCGTCAATCAAATGTCAAGGTCACGTGACATTTGATTGACCAATAAGGAGTCAGAACGTCATGATGAATAAATTAATAATCCCGACTAAAGGATCTAAAGTCTGATTAAACGGTTGCCAAGCAGGTTCCTGTCACTTGATTACCGGTCACGTGTTTAGCTTAAGCATCATGTGACATGAATGTTATTGAACCTCGAGATCACGTGACAGGAGTCACTTGATTACCCGTCAGAACGTCATGATGAATAATTCAATAATCCCGACTAAAGGATCTAAAGTCTGATTAAACGGTTGCCAAGCAGGTTCCTGTCACTTGATTACCGGTCACGTGTTTAGCTTAAGCATCATGTGACATGAATGTTATTGAACCTCGAGATCACGTGACAGGAGTCACTTGATTACCCGTCAGAACGTCATGATGAATAATTCAATAATCCTGTCTAAAGGATCTAAAGTCAGATTAAACGGTTGCCAAGCAGGTTCCTGTTATTTGATTACTGGTCAAATGATTCTTCACGATTTACCCCGGTCCAGTCACCACTCCAAATAAGCAGAGGGTGACATAACGAAATGTGGTGTAGGGTTACCATCGCTCGACCTCCTGGAAATTACAAGTCTTATCATCAATTTTCTGACATTTAAGCAATAGCTACAGTATCTGAACCACATTTTCACCCTTTAAGATATAACAACTGTTAGGTAGCCTAGTGGTTAGAACATCCGTCTTCTGCACAAAAGGTTCAGGGTTCAAAGTCGAGTCTAGGGAGTAGCTAAGGCTCCATACCATTCACTATTATTAACTATTAAATTTGCTTGTTATAAATTTGATAAATTTCGAGAGACAAATAAAACTACCGTTTAATTGATAATTTGTTGTTGTCAACATTATAATCATAAATTGAAATCATCAAGAGTAAGATTGGGTACATAAATCATTGTATAACAGTTGCACGTTAATGGTGTTCTAGTACAGGTAGTTAGTTCCACCAACTACTTATTCAGATAAAGTTTGAGAATCTTATCGACAATAGTAGTGTTTTCGTTCATCAGTTTGTTTACATCAGATAGACTTGTAGTGGTGATAACTGCATCCAATAGAGATCGTTCTTCCAAACTTAAAATATCTGTTAGGTCTTCTCCGCTGTCAATTAAACGCTGCTTCAAGACAACAAACAATTCGGTTTTCATCATGTATGAGAATAAAATGTCAAAACATTTATTTTGCTCTTTACACAATTTACTTTGTAACAGGACGTCTAGAGATTTAAGTAAACTCGATATCTTTTTACTGTTTGGTTGTTTGATTGGTACTCCTTTCCGCTTGCCTACGTGTTGCCAGTCAGTATCAGATTCTAACTCTTTAGCACTATATTCTTTGTTGGACTCATCATCGCTACTTGTTACACCACTAAATTCATCATCACCACTACCTGGTACATCAGAGTTAGAACCACTTTGCTGAGATTCTTCAGAAACTATTGTATCAACATCTGAACATACAGAATCAGGACCCTCCATTTTGACATCAGTCGCATCTGAGTTAGCTTTTGACAGTGGCTGTAGAATTGCAGAACTTTCATCTGACTCTCGGTTCTCTCGATGATACCTACTAATGTGTGAGGACAGACTATATTTATTGGCAAAAGACTTGTCACAGAATGAGCAGGTTACAGAATTCATAACTGCAGTACAAACGTTTTATAATGCTATGCAACAACCATTATATAGCAATAATCGCATAAAATCGCAAATAATCGCAAAATAATCGCATATAATCGCATATAATAGCATATAATAGCATATAATATCATATAATAGCATATAACAGCATAAAATTGCAAATAATCGCATATAATTGCAAAATAATTGCATAAAATAGCATATAATAGCATATAATCGCATATAATCGCATATAATAACATATAATAGCATGTAATAACATTTAATCACATATATAATCACGTATATTATCTCTTAAAATCACATTTTATTATCTATAATTGCATATAATTGCAAATAATCGCATATAGTAGCAGGGAGAATATGATCCAACTTATACATTCAACATATTAAAGATCTTTTTCAAAGATTTATTTTCATGCTGATTGCCAAGCATCATCCTGGAGATGAAACTGTAACTCTTGAGTCTACCAAAGACTGCACCCAACATGTAGGAATACTTCCTAGTGCAGTGGGGACATTAAAGAACCACACCAGACAGGACAAGGAGATCATGGTGAATTCTACGTCAACTAGCCAGACGGAGATCATCTTCGAGATCTATCACTTTCTGGATTATCATTCATAACCAGTAGTCAGCGCACCATTGATTTCTGCTTTCAAATGATAACTGCTAATACTCTTGTCGATTTTATTGC